AGCTTGCAATCCTCCATCTTCAAATTGTTTGACTCAATTACCTTGCCTAATATAGAGGGTTTTTTTTTTTTTGCTTCCATATAAAATCAAAGTTTAGCTGGTTAATAGATTTGATTGCTGATTTAGGTACACCTAATGTATATGCAGAGTATATTAGCCTGGAAATATTCTACCCAGAATCAATAAGTCTGTCTGTGCCCAGTTACTTCAATGAGTTCTACAATTTTGCATTTTCTTTCAAATATTAAGGTTTTCTAACTCAGTTCTGTTTTAAGTTATATACATACCAAATATTTGACATTGGATTTTTTTACAGGGATATTGAAAGTGTTAGATATAGTACAGTCTTTTAAAGGTATAAGATCTCACATTTGTCTGAGTTCAGTTTTAGGCCTGAAGCTTTTGAGAAATTTTCAATGATTTGTAGAATTTTGGGGATTTGATTCAAGTTATTTAAGAAAATGGCGGTGTCATCGGCTAACTGGCTGATAGAGAGCTCTTTACCTAGAACAGATTACTTACCAAATATAGTATTTTTAATCAGTATGGAAAGCATTTCTGTTGCTGTGATAAACAGCAATGGTGAGATTGGACATCCTTGTTTTATTCTTTTGCAGATCCTAAATCTCTGTGAGGTGCCATGTGGAAGACACACTGAACTGTTTGTGTCTCTATACAGTAATTATTAAAGCCACTTCCAAATCTAGGGCTTGAAACATAAACTCGTGCTCTATCATATCGAAGGATTTGTAAAAGTCTAAAACTAGGAAAAACCTTTGTTATTAATTAGGTAGTTATAGTCAATCAAGTCCAGAACAAGGCAGATATTATTATGGATTGAGTGGCCTTTTATAAATTTGGACTGAGTGTAAGAAATTATTTGAGTTATGCCTGATTTTAATCTGTTAGCAAAAATATGTTTTAGAAGATTATAATCATTATTTAAGAGTTTTATTGGTCTTAAATTATCAAGAAGTGTCGGATCTTTCCCAGGTTTGGGTATGAGTGTAACTACCCCTTGTTTCATAGTGTGTGTGAGAGAACCATTTTCTAAAATTTCTGTGAGCATCTCAAACACAAGGATTCTAGTATGATCCCAAAAATATATGTAACAGTTACTCGTCAGGCCATCACATCCTGGGGCTTTATCGTTGGATAAAGCACCTAATGCTTTATCTAACTCTTCAAGGGTAATACCTGCATCACAGTACTGCTTAAAATTTTCATCAGTTTTAGGAATCAGGTGTTTAATAGGTTGATTCTATGCCATTGGCCTCAGCCAAATTGCTGTAAAAGGTAAAGATTTCTTTGGATATTAATTGAGGGTCAGTGCATAGCCATCCTCTATCCACTTGGCTTGGGATCTCAGATATGCACCTTTGGCCTTTTTAGTATAACTATTGTCTTTTTTTCATTTTTCATTTTCTTTGTTGTAAAGCACTTTGTGATTTTTATCTGCAAAAAGCGTTATATAAATACATTTTCCTTACTTACTAGGTTTTTATCATTTGAAATAAGTTCTAGTTGTTCAAGTATTTTGTTACTAAAATTTTCATTGGTAAGCAGGGTTGAGTTAAATTTCCAGTAACCTTTATTATGAGATTTTTGGGCGACTGTGGCTCAGGGGGTTGAGAAGCGTATCTATAATCGGAAGGTCGCCGGTTCGATACCCGGGCTCTCTGTCCTGGTCGTTGTGTCCTTGGGCAAGACACTTTACCCTACTGGTGTTGGCCAGAGGGGCCGATGGCGCGATATGGCAGCCTTGCTTCAGTGGCTAAAACCGTAGCTTGCCTCCACCAGAGAGTGAATGAATAGTGGCATTGTAAAGCGCTCTGGGTGCCTTGAAAAGCGCTATATAAATCCAATCCATTATTATTTTTTAAGTTGAGGTGCGACATTAAGCTGTATCAAACAGTGATCGGTTAAAGGCGCAGCTGAGACACCCGCATCTACATTGTTCTGCATTATACTGTCTGAAATTAGCCAGAAATCAAAATGAGATTTAGCTGAGCGATCGAGCTTGAACCATAAAAAGGGCTGATGAAGTTGGTTCACTAATCTCCAAGGATCTATTAGGTTAAAATCTAAACAGAAGATGTGTAAAAATGAATTTATATGATGAGACTGGAATTTAGAGAGTGATCTATCAAGCCACTCGTCACAGACAATATTGAAATCTCCTCCCACTATAAAATTGTTTGTGGAGTACTTGTGAGATAGTTCTTTTAGGTGATTGGTTATGTCAGTTAATAAGAGTTCGTTCTGAGCAACACTGTTGTAGCCATAAACATTACATAGAAACAGAAATGTATTTTCCACTTTGAGTACACAGATTAGCCAATGGCCCAAATTGTCTTTCCTATGAGTTTCTATGTTATTACGGACGTTTTTAAATATATCAAATTTGATAAATAGAGGTTTTCTGAGTTTCCTACCCTCACCTGTGGTCACGAGCTGTGGGTAATGACCAAAAGAACGAGATTGTGGATACAAGTGGTGGAAATGGGCATCTCCCTTAGAGATAGGGTAAGAAGTTCAGCCATCCGGGAGGGACTCAGAGTAGAGCCGCTGCTCCTTCACATCGAAAGGAGCCAGTTGAGGTGGTTCGGCCATGTTACAAGGATGCCTCCTGGGCGCCTCATGGGCGAGGTGTTCTGGGCATTTCTACCGGGAGGAGGCCCCGGGGCAGACCCAGGATACGCTGGAGAGATTATATCTCTCAGGTGGCCTGGGAACGCCTTGGTGTTTTCACGGACAAGCTGGAGGAGGTGGCTGGCGAGAAGGAGGTCTGGGCTTCTCTGCTTGGGCTGCTGCCCCACGACCTGGCCTCGGATAAGCGGAAGAAGATTGATGGATGGATAGATGGATGGAGGTTTTCTGAGTTTTTGAGACTTCTACATCATCATCATTAGTGTGAATCCTCCAAAAAAACCTAAATTAATTGTACAATATTTTTTTAAGCAATAAATAGCAAAAATATTGGTAGATGTATCAATTATGATACAAATTCAAACTCATTTATGCAAATTAATATTCATTCATTCATGTTCATATAATTTAAATAGTTAAAGTTAGTTGGTTTGAAACAACACAGGAAGTAAATATCATGGAGACACAAAACACACGTGGATAAAGCAGTAGCAGTAAAAGTAAAGGAAGCACAGGAGTCACAAATGTGGACATCAAGAAACGTGAGAGAGTGAAACAACAGGAACCAAAACTCAACAAATATACAGCAGATTTGTTAGTATCATGACAAAGAATTATTTTTTCTCCCTACAGATTACACCAATTTTTTCATCTGCCTCAACAGAGTGTGTTTCTTGTAGCAATATACAGTTAGCATTTACATTTTTACAAAACAAAAATACTTTATTTTAAGAATATCTCTCAAGCCCCTACTATTTAAAGACACACAGTTAAAATTAGAAGTGAAAAATGACATAAAAAGGAAAATAAACAAGAGACTGGAACACTAAATCCTTTAAATTGAATTCACAAAATGCAAAAGAGCTCTAAAAAATATAATATATATAGTCGTTATGTATAGTCATTATAATACCGTACCAAATAGGTAATATGAACCTGCCTACTTAAACTTAACGGGCGTGCTCTCTGTAGTAAATGTTCTTCCCTTCAGCTCCGGCTTGCTCTATTTTGGCCAAACTGCAGCTCCTGCCTCCTGGTCTAGTTTGCAGAAATCTTGCTTGATGTAGATGCCTAGCTCCTTGCACACCTGGGAATCCTTGGTCAGCTGCCAGAAAGCATCTCGATGGTGTCTCACGGTGAACTGAACTATTATTTGTAAAGGTCAACCCCCTTCTTTTTTCCCTAGGCGATGGACGGTGTCCACAGCGTTGTCCAGTGAAGAAGCCCAATGTGGTGCGATCTTGGCTAAGATGTCGATGACCTCCTTGCAAGAATCCTTGTCGTTTGTTTCTTTCCATCCCTGAATTTTCAAGTTCCAGTGGCACATGTACCATTCTAGTTCCCACACTCTCTCCTTCAGCTCCATGTTTTCTTTGTTGAGAGGAGGCATGCCTTTTTTCCAAAACAAACAGTTTAGCTTTACACTCTTTTATAACGGCTGCGTTCATTTCAGCTAGCTTGGCAATATTAGCCACCATTATCATGTTGTTACTTAGCTGCACACTGAGGTGATCAATCTTGTTTGTTAGCTTGTTAATGGCTTCTACTATGGAGTTGTTGGTCTCCACACTTTGGGACACAATTCCCTTACAACGGTGCTTTGGTGGATGTAGATGGGGTTTTTCTTTTGGCTGACGACATTGAAATCACCATGGAGTATTCGTGGTCAGTGGCTGCGGAGCTTTTGGAGGCTACCACTTATTTGGCTGAAGCTTCTGCTTTTTCCCGCGTCAACTTCTTGTCTTTTAAACGGCAGATTGGGTTCGCTCAAAAAGGCTTTAGGTGATGTACTTTGTCTTCAAAAACTATAGGCAAAAACAGCAACCTATTTGGTGGTCAAAAGAAGAGGTCTAATTGGATTAGATTTTTTTCCTTCCCACCTCTGACTTTGAAGTCCAGCTGCCTGCTTGTGTCCCACTTACTTACCACTGTTTTGTCTTCTTCTTTGTGCTCAAAGAACCATTGCCCTTGTGTCTTTTCTTTCTGCTCATCTCTGTGTTTTTGTCTTTCTTCATCGGCCTCAGTCCATATCTCTATTTCTGCATCTGTGTGCACTAACATTGGGAGAGACTATCAGTAGTTGATGAGGCCCCTCAGCAGACTTCAGGGGCCACATCTCTTGCTTTGCTGGTTTGCTGGTACAAAAACACAGCCTGTCTTTTAGCGACACCTGCTGTATTAGAGAGGTTGTATCATGAATATGTGACTCTTGTAATAAAGAAGATAAATACATATGTCTAAATCCCTGTAAGTAGTTTGCAGGATATTTATTCTGCTTATGACAACGCAGAGTAAAAGCTTATCCCCTGGATGGAACAAACACAGCACAGATCAAACAAAAGAAATCAGGAATTAATTTTTATTTCAGAGGTAATCAAAGACAAGTGGAATGTAATGATTAAACACACCAGAGTTCATATCCGTGTGATATAAATGCTCTAAGACAGGGGTGTCAAACTCATTTTACATCATGGGCCACATACAATCAGCTTTGATTTAAATGATCCAGTAAAACTCGCCTTTCTGTCAGTGTAAACTTGTTTAATTGCATATTTACAGTACAAGTCCATTTTTTTATTGTAGTAAACAAAAAGAATTAAAAGGAATCTGAGATCTTTCTCAGTGTGAAAAGCTGTAAAAGTTTCCAAAGCCACCCAGTCGGCTAAATTTGAAGCCTTTGCTGGGCTGAATCTGGTTCCTGGGCTTCATGGTTGACACGCCTGCTCTAAGCCTGTCTTAACCTATGCCATTAAATAATAGTCTTATTTATGGCATTGAGACCACACAAGGAAACTCTTTGGTGAGGTCATAAATCAAGTAAGCAGCTGGGTCATTTCCTCACAGACTTCTATGCAATCACATTTTTGGAAGGACAGGCTGGCCATACAATGCAGGTTCAAAGCACTTGTGCATTAGCTTGACCTGGAAGCTACATGCAGGTTTTTTTTGTTTGTTTGTTTGTTTTTGTTTTTTACATACAATATATATGTAAAATTCTATTAGCTCACGATATTTGCCAGCAAGTAGTCAGCACTACACAATTACACATTGTTAACAGGTTGTTTTTTTTTTAAAAGGGTTAGGGTTAGGGTCTGACATTACAGCTTCATTTTTTTGACAAAGGTTTACAGGGCATTGTTTTAGGTGCACAGCAATAAGATAAATTACAAAAATAAAAGCAACTTTGTCAGTTGCATCAGCATGATGAGATCAATCCCGCTCTTCTCTACACCTATATTTGAGCCCGTGATCTCCCTCTGAGTCGTAGCTCTCATAGCACGGCAGCGAGCGCCAGTCTGGCTCGTACATCGTGGTGGTGTACACAAACGCATCTGTGATGCTCCCCGGTGACACCTTCTCCTCTCCTTCCGTCTTCCCCACCCACTCCTTCACTTCCAGCTGGACCACCGTCCGCTGGTACCACGTTGGGACGCTTTTAAAAGTGTCCAGGAATTTCAGCATCTGGTCATCCACTTTGTAGATCTCCCCGTGCACTCGGTGACCCTGGCCAGGGATGTTGAGCAGGAAAGGGATGTTGTCCTTGGTGGTGATCACTAACGGGTATTTCTGGATAGTGAATGCCAAGCCAAGGTACTCGGCCTTTCCATTGTTGTTGTCGAACATGCGGTAGTTGTTGGGCTGCCCCTTCTTCAGGATGCCGTACACAAAGACCCGAGTCATGAGGACAGAGGACCAAAGACACACCTGTGGTGTAAAGAGGGAGAAACACCTCTGGGAGCAGCAAGTATTACTGGCAAATATATTTATCCAATTTTAACTGTTACTCTGTATTATATCAGTCACTTGTCCAGAGGTGGAAATTTGATCTAATTTAAAATGATCAGACCTTCAAAATAAAAGAAAATGAAAGTCAAATCTATGTAACACTTTATTTTAGTAATCTGCTCTCCTTACACGCATTAATTAGGAAAACAATCAGCAGATTACCATTACATGCACAGATTAAACATTACTATAAAAAATATGTCCTACAACACCTGCACACCTCTCCAGAAGAAAGGTGTGGAGGCTCTCAAACATCAGCACCCCCAACTGCGTCACTGATCTATGCTCTTGTGACACCTCCACACTCCCCTCTACCACCCACCAGCCCCTGCACTCCACACCACACTCGAGCTGTTACAAAATACCGTTACCGGAAGTGCAGTTTTAAAACACATGCTGTGAAGTGACATGTTTTTCTGCTTGGCTCTCAACTAAACTATCGTAAAGAAGCGCAAACCAACCTTGAATGAGCAGTAAGTAGATATTCCTTTCTAAAAAATCCGCCACCGTGACAGTTTAAGGAAGTGCGAAGGATGCCGCATACAGGGAAGCAATTTAAAGAATGGCGGAAACAATAGAGGGCGTTAAAGTGCCAAAGAAAAAAGGGCCTCGTGGGAAACGAGGCAGAGAAAAGGCTTTTATACTATACTGAAATCCAAATGAAACAAATAAACCATTATACATTTAACAAGATGTATCATTAATTATCTTGGATTAAGTATCATTTATTATCTTAAGTGGAAGATAATTGATGGGTGGATTTTATTTAAATACATATTTTATTATTTCACATTTACTTTATTATTTTCATTGTTCTTGTGCTGCAGTGCATCATAAATTAATTTTGTTTGTCAAACTCACCCATCAAAGTTGGGAAAGGCATAAAAAGATATAAAATGATTTTGAAAGGGGATAAACACTGAACTGATTTGGAAAAAGGTGTTAAACAACTGTACATCATTATTTCAAATTAAATATTACAGATGAATCAACTGCTTAGTTCATCCTGAGCTGTCTTAAAAACATTATACAAGTAACTCCCATTGCTACCTGAAGAAAAAACACACAGCTCTTTCTTCTTCTTTTTTTTAAACTCCAGACTTCCAAAACTTATAGCAGACATCTGGTGTTTTGAATACAGTTGAATAAATATTAAGAAACAAACAATTGAATAATTTCTGGAGCAGGCTTGACATCACTCGTCAGGATATCCATGACCAGCATGAACAACATGCTGGTCCAGATGGTTCTGCTCCCAGTGAAAATGCTCTCACTTTCCTCCCTATGTATTACATTTTTTTTTAATTAGTTTAATTGAACAAGCTGTTCCAACAAAAGTAGACCTGGCAATCAGGAATAAGACGGCAATGATTCAATTCAATATATTCTGAGAGCATTCCTATATGGTTCACTAAAAATACACAGTTATGAAATTAAACAATAATCTCAGCTTAACTGATTTGCTTGGGAACGAATACAAAACTAAAATAAACCAAACATAACCTGTTAGATATCACCTATCACCCGTGTTTAACCTTCACTGAGAGGCGAGGATCAGGAAGGGGTACCATGGGCTCTGATCACCCGGTCAGCTGACAGAGGGTGAGGGAAGCTGTCTGTTATGCTAACAGGACCTGACAGCTATGAAAAAATGTAATTATTTTTGCAAACAGGCTCTCAATAAACCAGCCAGATATTCATTTTCGTTCAGACTATGCCATTACATTTTTACCTTAGAAAAACAACTTAAAAAATGCATTTGGTGACAGAAAAATCATGTTCCAAAACTGTACTTACAGTTTGAGGGCACTTTCGCAGTGGTGGAGGAAACAGCTGATGTGATTTTATTCCAAATGCATTCTGGGAAACCTGCCAACCCCATGTCCACTGGATCAATCCATTTTCCAAAATCAGTCTGCCAGAGTAACCAGATGTTAGCAACTGTTGACAAGCTGCAATGATTGTTTATTTTATTTCATGGGGTGACTGAAGCACAAGAACCAGGAAATAATAAATTAAATAGTGAAATAAATAGTTTTGTGTAAAGACTAATACGTTTTAAGTTTTTAAAACAATATTTTGAGGCAATTATTTAATTATATATTTTCATTTTAATTAATCAAAAACACATTTACATAATTAATAGATTTATTTATACATTTATATATAATTAATGATTAATTGCCAATTTTAATTATTTAAAACATGTCAGATTAATTATTTACTGACATTTTATATTATTTTGTTTTAGCATTCTTAAGACTCAGTTCTAGAAAACTGAGTGAAAGTTTAAAAAGTTTTATGAATGATAGTCAGTCAGTGGAGGTTTAGGTCAACTCAAATGCAATGAGCCGAAGGTACTCTTTCCATCTCTGTCCATATAAAACATGAAAAATATTTTCAGGTTCATTTTAAAACATAACACCTCTGTGGGGCATAATGTGCTGAGAGGAAGAAACTTTGATCATTCATAAATGAAATACATTTGCAACCCACCAAACTACTATAAGCATAGATGGAAGGTAAAGTTTTTTTATGGTGCTGGTGTTGTCTGTATACAATTCATGTTTTCTGCTTCAGTATCTGTTGCAACAACTGTTGTACTCCTGTATTTGGATTTCAGGAAACATGCATGGATGGATCATCTCTTCAAGTAAGACTTTTCTTAGGCAGCGTTCACTATTGTAAACCACAGCCAATCAAATTGCAGGACATTGCCTCTGTGTGTGGGAAGAGGGAAGGGTGGATAAAAATGCTTTGCAGTCCCAGACATCTGGTCACCCTACAGCAATGAACAGCATATTGTTTAAAACCCGATTCATCTGAGCCCAATCTTGCATTCATAAAAAATCAAAACAGATCTTATATATTAAACATTTTTTACATTTAAAACCAGGCAGGGAAAGGAACTTATATTAAAAGAATGCCAGATTTTTATGCCTTCCTTTTTAAATTTTTTTTTATTGCAAATATATTACTTTGAATAAAAAACTGGGTTCATTCAAAGTGCAGAAGAGGTGGGGGGCCTCCAATCTGGCCCACTACATGCTTTGGAATATATGAAGGACATAGATTTTGAACTGTTAAGTGTATTTTCACAAGTTTTACAGCTTTTCCTATGAATGTAGAATTACCCCATTACCACTGTCCTTCATATTACACCACAGTAATTAAGTAATAGATAAACAGCTAAATCATTTTAAATGACATTTTTTTCCACTATTGACTAAAGAAATGGGTTTTTTACACCGGGTCAATGGTAAAAATGAATGAATTAATAAAACATTTCTGTGAATTAATGATTTTTTTTTTTAACTGAAATTTTCACCAGTCGCTGCCTGGTTTTTCCATTTCAAAGCTCTTTGTCTGGAGCTGCACTGGATCCCAGTAAACAAATAAAAATGATTACTGTGGCTTTATGAGAGCAGCAGACACATCTCATAAAAATTAAGCTGAAGTTGTCTCGGAGGAGAGGGAGGGAGGGATGGAGGGAGGGAGATGATGTTTCTTCAGACAGGCTCTCTAAAAGACGTGCTTTCCTCATTGTGTCTCACTCCTCCGACTGCAGAGTCACCAGCGAGTACTTGCCGAGATGAACTGGGGCAAATAACTCAGCCTCGGAATAAATAAAGTGCAATCCATCTTTCCTTAAAAGACACTTGACATTCAGTCTAACAGCAAAACAGCCCGCTAACTCAGCCCGGGCGAGCTGGAAAAATCTAATAAACTTTGTGCTTTGGCAGAATGAAGGGAATTGGTAACTGATGGAGCAATAGGAAATAATTTGTCTTTAAAAATACATCTCACCGTGTCTTGGTTTGTCTTTGTCTCCTTTTCTCACTCAGCTCAAGAGAGTCCATTCTGGTGATATGAAACAAAATTTTGGGGGGGAAAGCTCAGGTACAGTGGATGATATCAAAAAACTAATAAAGGGAGCCAGTAGAGGGAGGCAAGATGATATTAGAAGAAGTATTAGGAAGACATCTGATATTTCATGACAAATACAAACTGCTTAATTAATTTTGTGCTGTTTCACACCTTTTAGCTTGTGTGTTTATGGTGAAATGTGATTTTTAATACATATTTGCTGATGTAGAAATGTTTAATCTGGTTGATTGGAGGGACTTTGATGAATGAGGTCAAGACATTTGTTCTATTCGTTACCTATTGGTTCACCTCATCCTCATACGCATCACCTGTCTTCTTAACCTAGCTTCAGCAGCTCTTCTCATATCTTCATGGTTTGGCTCCTCAGCTTTATCCCTCTGTATGTGGTACAGCTCTGCATATCAAAATCAGTACCAGTATACCTCTTCTCCAGTCCTCAGGCATTCTCTCACTTTCCAAGACTGTGTTAAACAATCTGGTCAAAAAGTCCACTGCCCACCTCCTACACGTCTCCATACCTCCACAGGTATGCCACCAGGACCAACTGCTTTTCCAGTCTTCGAACTTTTCATAGCTGCCCTCAGCTCCTCCTTATAACCCCCTGAGCTTTTTGATTCACCAATGTTCCTCCATTCATCCCCTTCTCTTTCTCATTTTCTTCAGAGAGCATAACACAGAGCAATTATATTATTGTTAATAATAATAATAATAATAATAATAAGTATTATTATTGCAGAGCAATGTAACTCATGGGCCTAATTTAAATGTACTAGCTGTGGTCAAAGGAGCTTGCAAAGAAAAGCGTCTGGACTTCTTTAATTAAGTTGCTTGAACTGTGGACACACTTTTCCAGCTAATTAAATACTAAAAAAATAACAACAAATTATTATTATTCCTCGGCATTATAGCTGTAGTAGGTTATTTGATTGGTCACAATTGTAACGAGTGCGCAGGCTCGGAATCTGCGCTGGCGCTGATTTGTTGATGACGGAAGATGACGAAGGCACGTCCGCAGCCTAGCAGCAGAAAAGACGGCGTAAACAAAGCAGACTGCTAGGAATCGGCTAACGCTAAGTAGCGAATATTTCAGTAGTAAAATACTCAGTATTTATGCGCTTGGTTACAAACGAGCACATTTTATTGGTGAGTAGGGCTCAGATGTAAGTGGTAAACGACTCACGTATTTGCGGACACTACAAACTAAACGATACTACAAATACCGTTATTGCTAACTACATTAGCTTTGGCTAGCCTCGTTTAACGGGATGTTCAGCTTCTGGAAAATAATGTCTTCCAGCCTAATATTTATCGAAAACACACGGTAACGACTAAATTATTCACCGACGTAAGTTGGGTGAGGCATTTAAAAGCTAAACGTTTACACTTTGATGGGTTAGTTCGCCATGTAGCTAGTTTAGGTTAAGAGTCGATGAGCAGGGCTGGATAGTGGAGTGTCGCTGCCCACCTGGACCACCACTCAGTCATTCGGACCCGGACTGCGATGTTTAGCCTGATGGCGAATTGTTGCAACTGGCTAAAACGCTGGCAGGAGCCTGCAAGGTAAGTTAGGTCACGATATGATGCCCCAAAATCAGTGCTTCACACTCCGAAATCACGGACAGCTTCAACCTGTTGAGGTGCTTCGAAAAGTG